GACTCTGTGGTTTCTTCCCCAAACCCCAAAAACTTTAACCTTAGACTGTCTACTATTGACCTCACCCCTTTCCTAAGAGGTCTGTAGGGGGCGTGCATAAGCACACCAATGTGCCTACCATCCCTGTCCTATTGTTTCTTTTATTTTTCTTATATGTACCCATTTCATGTATTCATAACTATGTATATACTTATACCTATTATCTTGTAAGTGATTATCAAATCAAATAAATAAATAAATAAATGAATGAATGAATGAATGAATGAGTACCATTTATCTGCCAGTTGGTGGTAGTGTTGTCTATTTTACATTTTTCTAGTTTGCCAAGAAGTAAGTTGTGGTTTACTTTATCAAATGCTTACTGAAATCTAAGTATACTATGTCCACAACATTTCACTGATCCACTGATTTAGTCAATTTGTCAAAGAATGAAATAAGATTCATTTGGCATAATTGGCTACTGGTTCTAACTTTGTTTGCTTGTAGATGTTCGCAGATTTGTTGCTTGGTTATCTTTGCCAAAATCTTCCCAGGTATTGATGTCAGACTGGTTGGTCTGCAATTTCCTGGATTTGTTTTTCCCTTTTCTGAAATGGGAACTACATCACCTCTTTTCCAGATCACAGGTAATATCACGTTGTTCCAAGAACTTTGAAAGATATGTTTCAATAGTTCTGAAATCACATTTACCAGTTTCTTCAGAACTCTGGGATTTAGTCCATCAGGACCCTGTGGTTTAAATCCATCTAGAGATAACAGGTGTTATCTTGCCTTATTTTTGCATATTTTAATTTGCATTCCTAACCTGTCGTTTACAGTTCTGCTTTTGGTGAGTTGAGTATTAGTTGTTTTTGTGTGTGTGTGTGATACTTTTTGCAAAGTATGAAATAGGCAGTTCTGTTTTCTCTCTACTGCCTATTACTTCTTTGCCATCTTCTCCAATTAGTGGACTGATCTTTAACTTTTGTCATGTTTTTTATTTTGTTGAAAGAAACTGTTTTTATTGTTTTAACATTTGTTGCAAGTCTTACTTTGTTCAAAGCCTTAGCTTTCCTAACTTCATCTTTGCAGATTCAGGCTATTTGTGGGTATTCTGCCTTAGTTTATGTTTTATAGTTTATCTTTCCATTTTTTGTACTTATCCTTTTTTTCTCTCCGTTGGTTTGAGAGTTCTTTATGCTACCATGCTGGTTTCTTCTTGGTTTTGTTGTTTTTCTTTTTTAGTGATATTGAACTGGACTGGACTATAATTCTATTTTTTAGAGTTTCCCAAGCTTCTTGAGTTAATTTCCCCTTTAAGATTTTCATCCATGGAATCCTTCCCAAACTCTCTCTGTTTTTGTTAAAACAAGCTCTTTTAAAGTCTAAGACACTGGTTTAATTATATTCTATGCTTGTGTCTGTTTTATATTGAATTATAATATGACATGGTCACTCTCCCCTAAAATTCCTGAAAATTCAATTCCCTCTATCACTTTTTCACTGTTGGTAAGAATAAGGTCCAGTATAGCTGCCTCATAATTGCCTTCTCAACCTTTTGGGTGATGAAGTTGTCAACTAGGTGGGTGCAGGAATCAGGAGTACTGCAGAGTGTCTCCCAGTTGATGTCAAGGTAGTTAAAGTTCCCCATTACTATTGTGGTTGGTTTCCTACATATATTGGTTAACTACCCTGATTTTAAAAGGAATAATCATAAATTATGATAAAACTACCACTACTAATACATTCCAATAAATAAATAACTTGGCAGATCCCTTGAATCGTCTGCTTATTACAGCTTTTCAGATTTGAGGCAAATAAATAGATTCTTTGTTCGTATTACAGATAAATAAAATGCTTCTTCTTTTCAGGCACAATAGAAAATATAATATAAACTGCAACTATACACCAAAGACAAAATAAAAGCTTATTATGTCATTTTTTGCAAAAACTGAGGAACTGAGATGAAGGACTGGCAATAATATATGGCATAATAGGGTCAGTTTTCTACTAGATGAAATAACTAATATATGGAGAAGGAAAAGTTAACATTTCTATTTATGTGTTTTAGTTAAACTTATACCTTTTTACATTCCCTGAGACCTATGTTGCTGAGATATTTATGTCCTTTTCTATGCAAATTAATTCAAAAGAAACCAGAATAGTGATAATTTTAAATTCCTTGACAGAAAAAGAAAGAAAAATAGTATTACTGTTGATCAAAAAAACTTTACTGATATACCTTTTATCACATTTTTTGGAAGTGTTGCCTAGAATATGTTGAGAGACAGATTTGTTTGTGGAGTTGTTACTATTTCAAAACATTTTAGTAAATAAGAACTTTATATGATATAAAATATACATTAGGTAACTATTATAGAAATAGTAGTAAATATTTGTAAGATTGGCAATTAACAGGAAAATAAAAAAGGAATTACACATTTTGACTCCATAAACTAAGGTCAAAACTTAATAAAAACTATGAAATACAGAGAGATACTTTAGCTGTATAAAATGTACTTAATCATAATTTGTAGACATTTAATAATCAGGATGCCATTTAATGACTAGGGTATAAACACTATTTTTTTAATGTAACTTCAAAATGGAGTTGCATTGAAATATTTACAAAAATACTTGTTTTTGCAGGGAATGTAAAAATTCTTCAAATACAGGTAGTCCTCAACTTACGACCACAAAGAAGCCACAAATTTATGTTGCAAAGCAAGGTAGCTGTTAAGTGAATTGTGAATTAAGTGAAACGGTTGGGGCAGTGGTGGGATTCAAATAATTTAGCAACCAGTTCTCTGCTCTGGGTGGGCATGGCTGGGTGGGCATGTGACTGGGTGGGTGTGGCCAACTTGATTGGTCTCACCCTTAGGAAATTTTTCCTTAGTCCAACTCACAATAAAATAGCACAATAAAATAGCACTGTTCCAATATATGGAATGGAATGGAATGGAATGGAATAGAATAGAATAGAATAGAATAGAATAGAATAGAATAGAATAGAATAGAAGAGTTGGAAGGGACCTTGGAGGTCTTCTAGTCCAACCCCCTGCTTAAGCAGGAAACCCTACACCGTTCAGACAAATGGTTATCCAATCTCTTTTTAAAAACATCCAGTGTTGGAGCAATCAACCAAAAACGTCACAGCTCCTGGAGGCAAGTGGTTCCACTGATTAATTGTTCTGTCAGGAAATTTGAGGGGCTCCTACAAAAATGAGGGAGTCAATCCATTTTCCAAAACACCAAAAAGCACAACAAGAAACAATGGATCAAAACTAACCAAAAAGAGAAGCAACCTAGGATTAAGGAGAAATTTCCTAAGGGTGAGACCAATCAACCAATGGAGTAGCTTGCCTTCAGAAGTTGTGAGTGCTCCATCATTAGAGGCTTTTCAAAAGAGTGAGGGAAGTATACCCCAAAAGGAACTACTAAAACAATGCAGAAAACTTAAAACAGCCATTCCCCCTTTTTAAAAAACAATGTCAACCCCAAAGCAAATGCAGCAGCTGAGGAAGAAACTAAGAGCAACTGCTCATGCTAATTGAAAGCCTGGGCATGCTGCCAAAAGCCATTAACCCTTCCAATTCTATTCTATGTTCTCTATGTTCTAAATTTGGTACCTCACAGGAGAAGCAATACAGCTGGCTGGACCACACATGCATTAAATTCATGGTCTGTGATCAAGCAGCATCATTGTCCCCTCCTGTGTCTTTTTCCCCAGAAAAAAACAAGAAGTACCCAACACTGCAGCATAAAAGGTCTTGGGGAACTCCAGGGAGTATCAGCTGATCACAGAAATGTTACTTAATACTCTTTATAATGAAAATGTTTGTAATCTTGTCCTTCTTCCTGAAGGAAAGAGGTTAATCCCATCCTAAGATGGGTGATTGGTGGGTTTCCCTGCCCTACTCCTGTCAGTTTCTGTTGTTTATTGACTTTATTCAGTGTGTGTCAGCTGCATTCCAGCTGAATTGTTAAGTGGTTCTTGGCAATCTGCCTGGAGCTATTAACTGAAGGGAGAGAGAAGAAAAAAACCTCTCTTGCACTTTATTTTCAGCCGATTCTCCGAACTGCATAAGCAATTAACTAACTGTTCGGGTGAACTGGTGAGAACCGGCTGAATCTCAACACTGGGTTGGGGTCTCTAGGATACACTTTAGGTTATTAGAGAGCCAGTTTGGTGTAGTGGTTAAGGCATCAAGTTAGACACTTGGAAACTAAGAGTTCTGTCCCATTTTGAACACAAAGCCAACTGGTCACCTTGGGCCATCACTTTATTATTTTTATTCCAGCTTATTGATTACTAGTATGATCTGAAGCATAACTATTAAGACCCTGAATAACTTGATTCCATCTACAGCTCTGTTTTCAGGCACAAAATAATGACTTGTATGTTGCTAGTTTTTAGTTGATTAACTTTCAGCATTCTGAACTGGTATTTGAATATATTTTATATAGCTATAGCTATCTTTATCTATCTCTCTATCTTTAAAATAGTGCATTTGAATTTTGTTTTAAGTTAAACTTTTTGCCATCAGTTTAGGTACTTTTACTAAAAAAAAAACCTAAATAATTATTTAAAATCGATACAACAGAGGTGATTTCCTGTTCTAGACATAAATTTTTATTACAATGATTCTTATTTTTTTATTGTGATGCTTCCTTAAAGTATCAGGCAGCTTTCATGGATGGATGGATGGATGGATGGATGGATAAGGGAGGGAGAGAGATAGCCATATAAAATGTATTCAGACAGACAGACAGACCAAGCAAACGTATGGAGGGTTTTCTGCTTTTAACAGATGGCAGTATTAGTGCCAAGAAAAATCCATGGGTACATGTCTGAAGTCACCAGGAATCAAGCTTGTCTTGAAAACGGCTGTATCTTTCTAAAGTACTGTAGTCATAATATTTTTGAATTAATGAAATATTATCCTGAATGTTGCCTAGGCTTTGGAATTATTAGCTGTGTTACTCCAATTTTTATTCTCATTTTTATTCCCATTTTTCAGGTGTAGCAACCGGACCCAGTGTGCAGTGGTTGCTGGCCCAGATGTGTTTCCTGACCCTTGTCCAGGAACATACAAGTACTTGGAAGTGCAATACGAATGTGTCCCTTACAGTATGTATTATTATTACTATTGCCGTTGCTATTATAGTTGGTGGAGTATTGTTGATCTGAATACCAAATTGCTATAATTGTTGGCATTCAGTTTTTTAGGTTCTCTCATGCTCACATAAGTGGCTCTTGACAAACTGAGGAGTGGTGTACAGTAGAGAAGTTGACTAATGTAGAATTGTGGTTCTCAACAGGAAGCCATCTAGTTCCATTTCCCCATCCCCAATAGTTTTATTTATTTCACAGTAATTATAGCCTTATGGCTATATTCCTTAATGGTTCTGAAAGAGTATACAGGTAGTCCTCGGTTTACGACCGTTTGTATAAAGACAGTCCAAAGTTACTACTCTTACAGCCTGTAATGCAGTTCTGACTGTCACAAAATGTCACACATGCCCCGTTTCAATCACACGATTGCAACTTGGATGTTTGGCAGTTGGCTCACATTTATGTCCGATTGCCGTGTCCCACAGTCGCCTGATTTCAATTCCCTCCTCCCCTTTTTTTTCTGGTTTCTGGCAAAAACTACCATGGAGGAAAGTTGATTCAAACTAATGACAGCATGTTTTTCTTAATGACCATGGGATTTGCTTAATGACCACAGTGACTCGCTTTATGACCATTTTAAAAATGGTCATAAAATTCGATCTGGTCACATGGTGATTCAACCTACAACTGCAGTGACTTACAACCAAAATTCCGGTCCTTCTTATAAACTGAGAACTACCTGTATTCCAACATTCCAATTTCTGAAAGAGGACAAGCAAGGAAGATTGTTTCCATATTTTCCTTTTGGGATCTGCAGGTATTTCATTGGTTAACGCAGGTAATCCTAGTTTAGCATCACAATTGGGATTACAATCTTCCTTCAGCTTTCCTTCGATTTACAGACCTGTGAAGCTCATAAATGTGAGGACTGGTCACAGAGTTACTTTTCCATCATTGTCATTAACTGCAAACAGTTGCTAAAAGAGGCAGTTGGTAAATGTGGATTACCTGAGTTGAAAATTAGTTGAGGGACAAAGATAACATTTTGGTCTGTTTCAGCACTCTTTTTCTTATATAAAGAGATGGGAACTTCTGCAGTACTTAGCATGAATTTGTAATTTAATTATTGCTTGCAGTTTAATTATTGCTTAATTATTGTAGTTTAATTATTGCTTAATTATTAACAAAATCTATATTTTTATTGTGAAAATACCATTTCTGCACTGCTCTTTTGTAATTACTCTCAGAACAATCCTCCCATACCTTCTTTCAGCGTAAAACAATTTCAAACATTATTGTTTGAACAACTTTGCATTTACTCCATCACAATTGTAGGATTTTCACAAAACTAAACTTGATAACTGGCTTTCAGATTATAATGTATTCTTCATCTATCCAAATGAGTATAATAATATTTGAGAATATTTCTTAAAATGAAAGGTTTCTGAAATGGGTAATATCTGAGACATTTTAGGCTGAAATCTTATTCAGCCGCAAATAAGCCCCATTGATTTTATAGATTTTATTTCTAAATAAATAGCAGCTTGCATAGGATTAAGTTGTTAGAAGAACAATGCCTATTGCTATTGAACAATTGCTAGAAGAGAAAGAATTTGAAGATTCTCAGAGAAGAGTCATTTTGGGAAAGAGGAAAGTATTTGAAGTAATTGAGTTAATGAATGAATGAAGGGAGCAGATCTGAGTTGGAAACTGAATGAATAGACATGTAATAGATTTTTGGTCACGCCCATTTTGGCAATTTTACTAAAAGAAGTGGCATAATTCCCACAATAAAGTGTATCCAAAGTATATATGGCCAGTCTATCTGTCTATCTCAATTTATACTGAGCCATTTGAACAACGGGGTTGGCAAAGGAGCTAATAAGGCCTTGTAAAATAGTTTAAGTGTTGTTTTACAAAAAGTTCAAATCAACTTAATTCAGTTCAAATACTGGGTAGCACACTAAATTGCATCCACTTAAAATGTCCTGTCTGAATAAATTCATCTTTGTTATGGCTTAATATGATGACAAATGGTACATACTATTCAGAGGCAAATATGGATTCCTACAATAAGATTGACTCAACTACCCAGCCTCAATTTAATCTGATATTTTGTACTAATCTAAGGTCTCAAGCATCTTTCCTCAAGGCAGAATAGTGGGGAGTTAGATTTTTGTTCCATAGTTTAAGGAACGATGCAAGAAAATGTTCTGTTCCATATATCAACAAACATATTTGTGCTGTGTTGTGCCTCCAAAGGTAAGGATATATTTAAGAGGATTTCTTTTGCTCAAGTTAGTGTGAGAAATTCATATTAAAAATCTAGTCCTCAGTTAGTTAGACAATGAACCATCTAGCGCTTTAAAGATTAGAACTAAAATCTTCAACTCTATTGTATCTATGAAGCACTGGAGATCAGTATAGGTTTTTCAACTCAGACAACGGTGCTAGCTAAAGAAAGAGTCACTTTGGTAACAAACAGATTGGTATCCTAGATCAATTTATGGCCTTGAATTCCTTGTTTGTTGCCATAGTAACTAAGAATCTGTTCCTTTCTTCTTTACACTACTTGCTGCCAACCCTGAAATAACAACCCCACAAAAATTAAAAAGTCAACCACCACCACCATTCCTCTCAAATAAAGCAACCTCCTTTTGTTCAGGGTGTTTAAATACTGTGATCTTTTCACCTTCAAATGATTGATCACAAATAACTAAAATAATCTGTTGTCTCCTTGAACAACAGAATACTGTACTGGGAAAGATAGGATTTCACTCATTGTCAAGTCTGTTTCTTAAAAAGAAAAAATATTTTTAATGATTGTTTGCTTTTGAGGAGGCAATTAATTGTCTTTAAAAGTTTCTAGAGAAGTAACTTGCTAGATGCCAACTTTTTCCTTATGTCTTCTCTGGCAGTATTATAACAGGATATAACAGCAACTTCCAGAGCATCACAAGATAGAATTTTCACACTTGTCATAGCCTTCCACAGTCTGCAGTACCCACAAAACAGCCAGTTTTTGCACACCCCAAAATGTCACAAAACTGTCATGAGAAAGATAAATACTAAAACCAGTAGATTTGAGGGGATAGTTTAAGATCTCCTGCCAGACCCCTTCTTCCAAGGGATTCCCAATACATATTTGTTATGATGAAGTATCAGCAGTCATGCTAAATGCCCTGACAAACCATACACTGTCTGAATAGGGAGATCTTAGGTCCGTCATGGGCTTTTATTTTTATTTTATATATCAAATTTAGAAACCACCCATCTCCCTTAAACTTTCTCTTTGACTCAGGAATAGGCAAATATAAAGAGCTTTGAATCTTGAGAGTTCAGAGACTAGAAATACAGAACGTTAGAAATCTTCAAAGCACTGGTCCTAAGTGAAACCTGAGTGGTTTGGGAAGCTACTATGCTTTGATTTGCTGGCTCTTCTATGCAAATAGATGCAGTCTACTTTTTACCTGTTGTGCTTTTATATAAATGGAATCATATAGCAACATCTTTTGGGGATAGAAAAAAAATAATTCCATCTTTATATGAAGATCTATTGATCAGATGCTTTAAAATAAGGGAGCCCAACCCCCGGCCACGCAAGCAGCAGCTGAGCAGGTGAGCACGCAAAACTCCATTGGTGCCAGCAGCAGGAGTGCACACTCACACATTAAGCTCCACTTGCGCAAATGAAATTTCGTGTCACGCACCTGCCACTTGCACAAAACTATCCCCTCTTCCACCCCACCACCATTTCTGCTGGTGCTGCTGCCAGTCCACAGAGCCAGAAAGGTTGGGGACTGTTGTTTTAGAATAATATTGTGCTATGCCAAAGCTAGGATGTTGTCATAGGAAGCATTTCAATTTCCTAGGACACATTGTTCCTGTTCATGTGCTAGGTTTCTGTGAGGGATGTCTAGAAACCAGGAATGTTCGTGGGGCAAATGAGGAGTCAGGATAGCAAACAGAGCATTAAGATGTAAACCTCATACACTTGGAATGTGCATGCATGTACAGAAGGGGCAGGGCTTACATTGCAGTGTGGCATCCTCCAAAACTGCCCCTTTTTCTATTCCCTCGAGGTGATCCTGGAAAATACAGCTGATCATGTAGAGATAAATCATAATCTTACCAAACTTTTGCATCTAGAACCTACCTATTTCACTGTAGACATGGAGCTATATTTGTGGAAGTTGGCTTTTCAGTGAAGTCACCAGTACAACTTCATTCTGCCCCTCATATGTTGAATTTTATCCAGAGTAAATGGCCTAATAGCTACTGTTTTTCATGTCAGTAGTTATAAATGAAATGAGGAGTTACAGTTTTCAGTGCAAAACAGAAGAACTAGAGTTCATCAGTAGAGTTAGCCTCATTTCTGATGTGCTGTGTGGAATGGGATAACTCACTGTGGCCAACTCACCATGGCCATCTTACCCTGTGGTGGTATTCTACCAGTTTGGCCCGGTTCTGGCATACCTGTAGCGCTGAAGTTCGGTGGATACTGAACCGGTTCTCTCCGAGGAGCTGCTGGAGCTGCTGTTGGGCTCACCCCCACCCACCCACCCTGGCTCCCATACTGACCCTTATTTCCTGCTTTTGAAATGCAGCTGCTTTGTGCGTCACAGCAGATTGCTGTGCATCAGCTGCTGAAGCGACAGGGAGAGCGCAGGATTGCAGGAGGTGAGTCAGAAAGCCTCTGCGCCTGTGCAAAGTGCACGTTAGGCATGTGTGCATGCAAAGCACGCCCACCAAGCCACGCCCACCAAACCAGTGGTAAACTATTTTGAAACACACCACTGATCTTGCCATAACTAAACTAGTATGGCCATCTCGCTGTGGTCAAGTCGCCACAGGACAATTCACTATAGGACAGTTCCACACAGAATAACTCAAAGCAATAAATGTTTTCTGCCACTGTTTCTTCAACATTATTTCCATTGACAAAAATGGAGATAATATTGAAGAAACAGTGCATACAACATCTATCGCATTGAGTTATCCCATGTGGATTGTCC